GCCAGTGTGTAACGGTACCCCCCTCATTAAAAGATCTCTCGCACTGGCCCCTTCCACAGCGTCAGGGCGACGTTCCGGATGTGGAATGTCAGGATCCCTTGTGGGAGTGCTGCCAACGACAGACCGGAACGCTATGGGGAACACAGACGCTGTGATATTGACATCGCCCCACCCCCCATTTCCCGTCGACAGCTCGGGGAGGAAGGTGCTGGTGGCTACACCAATTTTCTGGGAAGGCACGGCCGAAGAAGAGCGCCGCATCCTCAGGGTCAGCTTCGCCGCCAACAGCGGACCGACCTGAGAGGCCCCCCCGTGTGCAAGAGCTGAGGCCCCCCCTCCTCCCCCGACACTCTGACTCAGCCCTTGCTCGAAGCCAGTGTGCGTACGGCATTCAGTGCACCAACGCTCGAAACAGCCCGCTGAGCTCCAGGAGGAATTCTGCCCCGGCCTCAGCCAGACTCTCTCTCACTGTGGGGGGACCGTGCAGCGGACAAAGTAACCGTCCCCGGAGCCAGCGAATTTCGGAGCGATGTAATCGGGAAACAGGGAGCGGGGAAGCGAAACTCCCGACGGCGCCCTCCTCCTGACGGCGAACACAGGCTCCCGGTCACCAACGCAGCCGTAAAGGGACAAATACAAGACAGCGCACAGCACTGGCACCTCCTCAGCCGCATCGTCCATCAGAGCGAGCGATGGACGTTAAAACCACACCCGGGCGCACCCCCACCCCGGCGCGCACCGCAACAGGGGCGGGCACCCGTTGGGCAGACCCAGGGCCTGACCCGAGCCAGGATCAACAGCCGCACGCAGATGCAGTGTTGCCCAGAAAAGCTCAACACTGAGGCATTCCCAGGCTCCTCCAACCATCTCCTCTCCTCGAACCTCAGCGACACCCACAACCTGTGGCCAAGGCCCACCATCATCAAGGACAGGTGTTGGGTGGAGAAGTGGCTGGAGGCCCAATAGATGGCCGACAAACCATGAAGTGCAGAGCTTCTTCAAGATCACCTACTGACCAAACCG